CAAAATGACCAGCTCGGCCATGGGAAGTGTGTGGTATATCATGACATTTGGGTTATCACCCCAAACATCATGTTTTTGGGTTGTTCACCCCATCGTGACTCAAACATCATAATTATGGGGTGATCACCCAAACGTCACCCCAATAACATGATTTTGAGCCTCTATAACACATGGTCACTTTCTTGAGCCAGCAGGCAGGGTCCCTTTTTAAAATGTCTTCAGGAATTAAAGCAAACTGACACAAGTTACCATTTTTATTCACATCCTTCTGTCTGACAAACAGAAAAAACACAAGGTGCTTTGTGTTCTCACACCTTTCCAGCAGCAGCATCACAGCAGGCATCCATGTCTGTTCTGCTCACCATCACCCCCAACCTCTCTGCGTGACCATAAACAAATACACTGTCACACCTGAGGCGCAGAAACGGCACCAATCAGAAAACCAGGCAGCCCCAAACCAAGTGCTCCACTTTGACAATCCGTTCTCGTTGTAATTACTGCATCTTGCTTGGGATCATTAAATATTCATCCCCCATCGACTGGGCGCGCTCCGACTCTGCTGCTTCGGTGACAGCTCCCTTCAAGAAAAGAGACCCATAATGCACCATTTCTCTCTTGTTTTCCCTGAATGTTTGCATCCATGATTAAAACTTAGTTTTCTCACCTTTGTTACAATAGTTTCACAACTTTCACTTCATAGTTTGTTGTATGTCTTTTTTTGTCATTATGTTTAGACATTTTTGTTCCATTCCTTTTTGTGAAACACACAGCAACAAAGTATTAAAGGGAGATGAAAATCACTGTGATCCCACAGGATTAAGTCTGAGAATTATCTAAGCACGAGCACCATTTGGGTTAAATCTATGGGAGGGAGGTGCATTTAATATGAGAAATGGGTCGATTCAATATGCTCAGCTTTATTGCTCCTGTGTGTCTTTTAAAGCAAAGCTACCACCCACCTAAACCCTCATGCCTGGAGCACTAACCAGGGAATGACAGCAAGTTAAAGGTCACAACCATGTTAACAGACTGCATGATTTAACCTACAACACCCCTGACATCATAGGATGCAAAACAAAAATATGATCCACCTGTGTGATAAGTCATCAGGTAATTCTGAATTTATTTATTTAATTCACTAAGTTATTTTATATTAGTTTGTACAGATGTACTTACTTTTGAAACTTGTACAACAGGAACCAAATTAAGTCTTAAAAATGGTGTTTTATTATATCATCATCATCAACACACACACACACACACACACACACACACACACACACACACACACACACACACACACACACACACACACACACACACACACACACACACACACACACACACACACACACACACACACACACACACACACACACACACACAACACAGAGAGAGAGAGAGAGAGAGAGAGAGAGAGAGAGAGAGAGAGAGAGAGAGAGAGAGACTGGACTGAATGAACCAGAACGTTAGCAGGCAGCGTTCCTGTAGCTCATCTTAGCTTGTGAATTAGGCTAAAAGCTTATGATGCACATACAGTTATTATACATCAGGCCTCTAGCTTGATATCATTTGCTTGATGGAATATTGCACCGTGAACACTGTGAAGTCAAAGCCAGGCGCATGGAAACACCATTTTTTCAGAATGGCTGTGGAGAAAACATCCAGTGATACCCCACATAAGAATTACCAGCACCTAGCAATTTAGATGCAAGTCAGCATCAAAACCAGGCTGATGTTAGCCACTCAGGAGCATGCCCACACTGAAAGAATGACACGTTTGTGTTGATATTGTAAGTATGGTGGCAATGAATTGCCGATTTTAAAACAATAAGCCAGGCAGCACCGATACCAGAGCTACAAATGATGTTCTACAAACTGAGGTGGTGCTTTGACTTAAAAAATAAACAATTGCTCATTGGTGATTTTAAATCTGCTACCTCCTTCAGTTTCAGTCATTATTCTGAAGAAATGGATCTTCTATAGGTCTGGCTGTTTGCCGCCATGTGGTGCTACTCAATAGAATTGCATCAGTAATTCCTTAGATGAGCTACTTTGTACATCTGTTTGGAAATCAGAAAATTTTTACTTCTCTGACCATCAGAAGCAGACACTCCCAAAAACAAAATGTCTTAACCTCCGGTGAGATATCAGTGCATGCTAGTAAGCCTTCTACAGGGCTTGACTGGAAGAAGTCTGGGGTTTCTTTCTCTTTCCCAAGCCTCTTTCACCTGCTTCTCCGGTGGGATCCCAAATGTTCCTTGGCAAGTCAGGAGATTAAAGCCCTCCAATGTGTCCTGGGTTAGCCTGTGGGTCTCCTCCCAGGATGTCATGGTCATTCGGGCATCCATAAAACATGCCTAAACTATCTAAATCTACTCAGATGTCTGATCTCACTCTAACTCAGAGGGAGCCCAGCCATCCTTTAAAGGACACTCACATTGGGTAGCTGTAGTTACAATGCTCCTAATCACAGCTGTTAAAGTTAAGTGAGGGTACATGAAAATGTTCACTTCCTGGTTTAGCTTCCTGTTCACCACAACGGGCTCATCTCTGCCCAAACCCTGTCACTCTCCCGTCTCAGCCTTAATTCCCTCACTTAAAAGGATTCATTAACTCAACTTGAGGTAGGACATCTCCCCTGCCTCAGAGTAGGCAACCACCCTGCAGATCTTCATCCCAGCTGCATCACTTTTGACTCATCCTCTCCAACCAGAGCTGAAGGTCATAATTGGACCTGCAAAAGAGGATATCTCTCACCAGCACACTCCTCACCCACTGCTGCATAGCTGCACCTAGACATTCCGTTGACTAACGTTCTGAACAGAAGTGGACAAAGGACGGCCCTGGTGGCGTCTGGCTCTCACTGGGGGCCGACCCAACCTCCTGCCGGTCGACCAAATGTGTACTTTTTATTTTATTATTCTTGTTTTTTTCAGATACAAATAAAATAAAACATCTGTTTGCTTTACAAAAGGAAAGAGGAATGAACGTACATTTGAAAATAAATTGCAGAGACAAAAAGCTCCACACTGACTCATGTGGTGCAGGAGGACTTTCATAGAATTATCTCAACAGCTAAAACTAACAGCATTGAAAATTAGAACTAAACTGCTGCAAGTCTTCTATAACTTATTCTCATAAAGAACTTCAAATTTCCTTTTTTAATAAAACACCTAAGATGCTACATGGTGTAGGCATAGGCTGAACATTCAAATAAAAATTATTTTGTTAATTTAGTTACCTAAACCTGCTCTAAATGAACTGTATTGTGTCACCAGCAGTTCTCCACTGATGTGGGCAGAAACTACCGTTTGCAGCAGCATTCGATGAAGAGATCTTACTTCATTCCACTGAAATAAATTGCCTGCTTATTACTTTTCAGGAAATTAAACAGCAGCCCAGAAAAAGGCTGCGTGTTCAATTTATACTCCTGAAGAGGAGAGCTTTAAACGGGCCAATAAAGTCACCGCTCAACTCCTCCAAAGGGAAGTCAGATGATTAGGAATAGCCTTTGTCTTTGAGTCTCTCTCAGTTTGGCTCTTTCATCTTAACTCTCATTAACGTTGTTTTCCTGTTTGATCTCAGTTAATCACGATGATATATTCCAGACGAAATTCTGTGTTTAAAATGAATCTCTGTCATTGAGAAGTAGTGTATGTATCAAGGAGGATCTGCTTGTCTGTTGTGTGATAATTCACTCTTCAGAACATCATGAGATGCTTTTATATTGATACAAGTTAAAAGTGCCTCTGCTGCCAGATGTCTACACATGAAAACGTGACTGCACCCAGACAATAGAAATGAAATGTCTACATTTCTCTTCAAGGTAATCAAGAACATGTGAAGGATGCTCTCTAGCTGAGACAAATGGAGGAAGAGAGACTTTCAGGAAGAAAGAACAGGAACTGAGAGACTTTTAAAGGAATGTTCAAAATAAACACGACAACGACAGAAAAAATAAAAAAAGATTGTCAGATCTATCTGCTTTTCATATCCGCGTGAGAACATCGGTTTGTAATAATCCCACTCAGATAGAAACAGAGAAGGCAGAAGAGTCAACATGAGAAACAAACGTGCAGCTGGAGACTGTCACTTCGACATCGACGCCGTTTTTTCTTCTCTTACAGATGTCTGCAGCAGAGAGACATCTGTCTCCAAATTTATGTCTTCTTCATTGGCTTCTGTCAGCCACATGAATGAGAAAGCTCATGAACAACACTGAGTTTAGCTGACACGCTGCAATAAACACACACACACACACACACACACACACACACACACACACACACACACACACACACACACACACACACACACACACACACACACACAACATTTAGACACCTTTACACCTTTTTGGCCCATCATCACGTCTTTTTTTAACAGAACACATTGCTCGATAAATTGTGCGGATTCTTCCTTAAATAAACAAATTTGTACTGCAGATGCAGATGAAGCTGTTTACCCGGGATAATCACACGGGGAAATAAGTGGTTGTGTTGTGCTAATCATTCTGAGTGCAGCGTTTTAACAAGCAGTGCTGCACAGCAGTTTTGCATCGCATTATTCAAGCTCCTCTTTTGCGTGCTCCATCCTCTTTGCAAGTGTCCAGGATGTAATAAGTGAAAGTCGAATGCAGGTCAAATTAAAAGCAAAAAAAATAAAAATAAAATAAAAATTATATATGTGTGTGTGTGTGTGTGTGTGTGTGTGTGTGTGTGTGTGTGTGTGTGTGCGTGTGTTTTTGTGGCATATCTGGACTTTTGACCTGAATACGTACCGACATTACAAGGACCTTTGTGTCTTAGGAGGACTAGGCCAAGGTCCGCCTAAATCATGGTATGTATTTGCTTTTTTAAGTACTTAAAAATAATTTTTTCTCATGGATTTTGGGCAAAACCTATACTTTACAAGTGGCTTTATAGTTTGGATTGTGTTTTGACACTTAATAATATATAAACAGCTTTTATTTTCAGTTTATTAATTTGTCCATCTATACCACTCAATATGATTTTTGTGTATTTATGTGTATAACACAGCGCCCCTGGATGTTGTGTATTTATTGCACTTTTATACACATTTATACACTTCGCGGGGTTTTGGGGTGTCCCTTTTGTGATTGGCTGTGGGCGGGACATAAAGCCCAACCCCTCAAAGCTACTTCCTGAAGACGTGCCTTTAAATTTTAAATGCCTTCAAAGCTGCAGCACTCAAAATGGAGGTCCCCGTGGATTAAACTTCACAGGTAAGCAATAGTATTAATACATTTCGGTTATTTTCTAGTTTTAATGTTTCGTTGATGTAACAATAGACTTGTAGCAAGTATTTAGAGAATGCAATGCAGTTCGTTTGGTTAGCAGTGAGTTGCTAGCTAGCTTAGCATTAGCTTGCAGGGTGTCCTCCAGAAAACTTAAGCCTGGCGGTAGAGAAGCCCAGGCGTTGTAGCGAGGCTGGTGGAAGAGCACGTTTATAAGATTCGCTTCCGTTCGTCGTCCGTGATAACGGGGGGGAGGTGGGGTGAGCGCACGGGTAGATTCGGTACCGTGCGTCATCCGTGATGGGGGGGGGGGGGGGGGGGGGGACTGATAGAATCGCTACCGTTCGTCGTCCGTGATAACTTGGGGAGGTGGGGGTGAGCGCACGGATAGATTCGGTACCGTGCGTCATCCGTGAGAGCGGGGTGAGGTGGGGGTGAGCGTATGGATAGATTCGGTACCGTGCGTCGAACGTGATAACTGGGGAGGTGGGGGTGAGCGTATGGATAGATTCGGTACCGTGCGTCATCCGTGATAGCGGGGTGAGGTGGGGGTGAGCGCATGGAAAGATTCGGTACCGTGCGTCGAACGTGATAACGTGGGGAGGTGGGGGTGAGCGTATGGATAGATTCGGTACCGTGCGTCGAACGTGATAACGTGGGGAGGTGGGGGTGAGCGTATGGATAGATTCGGTACCGTGCGTCATCCGTGATAGCGGGGTGAGGTGGGGGTGAGCGCATGGAAAGATTCGGTACCGTGCGTCGAACGTGATAACGTGGGGAGGTGGGGGTGAGCGTATGGATAGATTCGGTACCGTGCGTCGAACGTGATAACGTGGGGAGGTGGGGGTGAGCGCATGGAAAGATTCGGTACCGTGCGTCGAACGTGATAACGTGGGGAGGTGGGGGTGAGCGTATGGATAGATTCGGTACCGTGCGTCGAACGTGATAACTGGGGAGGTGGGGGTGAGCGTATGGATAGATTCGGTACCGTGCGTCGAACGTGATAACTGGGGAGGTGGGGGTGAGTGTATGGATGGATTCGGTACCGTGCGTTGTCCCTGATGAGGGTGGGGAGTGGGGGGGGGGAGTGGGGGGAATAGGGAAAGCCCTGGCTTGTAGCAACGTTTTCAAATTAGTTTTATATAGTTGGAAAACTAATGAAAGGTTGTGAATCTTACAGTTTTTGGTTACATTTATTGAATTTGTGAAGCTACAGCTGCTAGTTTAGCATTAGCTTGGTGCTGTAGCACATTGCATCATGGGATTGGTAGTGAGCTTATAAACCTGCAGAAAATGGTACACTCCTGTTGTGTTAAGGGCTGCCATGGCATCAAGAATCGGGAGCAACTGTTAGTTTTTCCCAGAATCGTACAGATATAAACAAACACGCCTGCCGAACTTTTACTTTGTAATGTAAACTTTTAATTTCTGCAGAGGAAACTTGTTAATATAATTCAACATGGTGGATTTAATAGAAGCTTTAAAGAACAAACTCTGGACGGTGTGAGGTGAGTTTGTCTCACTGCAGAAATAAAAACGCACACGGAGCGTCAGCAGTCAGACGCAGCCACTCACCAACACTCGTGTGTGTGTGTGTGTGTGTGTGTGTGTGTGTGTTTGAGCGTCAGAAGGGTGAACAATAACCTGTAGAATAATTAAAGATGGTTCTCTGTGAATGAACATAATAGACCCTTTTACTACCTACGTCATCAAAAGTTGCGCGCGCAGCCTGGCAACGAGAGTGAAGGCTTCCTCATTCACATTCGATACTAAAACAGCGTTTGAAACCTTTTGTTTTGAAGTTCTGAGCACTTAAAAAAAGTCGGGTTGTTGCGTGTATGGATGCCAGAATCGCTTCTCTTCAAGCAGTGGACTGAAACTTTACAGAATTCCGAAGGGAGCACATCCATTTGAACAAAATCGGAGGCGTCTGTGGCTGCAGGCCATCAAAAGTGTAACTGCAGCCTTTCCTGTTTTTCCCATCCTAACACAAACTCAACTTTGAATCAAATTGCTGCTGCGTGGCTGCAGCATGACCCAAGTCTGGAACATCAAAATGACAGAATTAAACAAATTTATACGCTTTATTTCATGCTTCAAATTAACATTTCATTCTAATTCATCTGTATTTTCCCACTGCATATTAGTATAAACTGTATTTCTCTAAAATTTACACGATTGTACTCTGAGCACGCTAAAAAAAGAAACCTATGCTATACTCACCCTGCCATGCAGGCACAGTTGGCTGTGAAGACGTAGTTCTCTGGTTTGTTTACTATGACCCAAGCCTCGTACATAGCAGTCTTGTGTCCTTGTCTTTGGCTAGGAAGGACTTCTGCCTTCAAGACGCAAAACTCAGAGTCTATGTCGTGATATTTTACTTTCTGTACGTGGCCACAGACAACATAGTTGTATGCATCTAACGATTTGTATGCCCGTAGCTTCTCACTTGTGTACTTACTGGGCCTCTCCACTAAAAACGTGTACATATCGGGCCACTGGATATCTGGCCACGCACCTACATCTTACACCCATTCCGTAATGCCACAGGGATCCGGGAGTCTGTCGCCATTCGTTAAAGTGAGTTTAATAATACAACATTCAAGATTTGCTGGTGATAACCCAGCAGCGTAGCTTGATAAAGCCTGAAACAACGCCATTCTCTGTTGCCAAGCTGCGCGCATTCTCGCTGAAGTCATATTGTTTACAAACAGTAAAAGGGTCTATACTGGAACATTTTTGGTAAATAATAATTTGGGAAGACGGCAGGAACAAGGAATAAAATAGTTTACAGTATTTAAAACATCCCTAAACTGGAGACTTGACAGGTGTGATCCTGATTCTGTGAATGAACTGTCAGTGAAGGCTTTCACATCACAACTCTGCCTCTCCTAGTTACAACTCTGGTGAGTGTGACTTCTTGTCCTCTGCGCATGCAGGTCACTTTGGGGCCATAAAGCGTTCACACTGGAGAGAGTTTGATGTCACATTTCAGTCAAAATGTAAACAACCACACAAAAATATTAGGATTTTCGGAATTGAGCATCAGGACCTGCAGCATGAACGTAACGTCAGAATTATCATTATTTGAAACTTGGAATTATCATTTTGTTACCCTTCCTGTAGCTTTCCTTAAGATTTAACTCTTGCTATTATTTAGTGCCCGCCTTGGGACTGGGAGGTCAATTCCCAGTTGGGTCATAAGGCGACCAGACTTACGGGACCCCACGCCTCCCTTCTTGACACTCGGCTTCAATGGGTTGGATTTGGGTTTAAACCACCAAATGGTTCTCGAGCACAGCCACTGCTGTAGCTCACAGCTCCCTGTGGGGATGGGTCAAGTGTGGAGATGTAATTTCACACGTGTGTGATGATGACTATGGGACTTTAACTTTACAGATGCCAGTAAAACATGGAGAGGCAAAGACGCATTAACCCAAAAGGAGATGCTAAATATCACATTGAGAATGGAAAGGACAAAGTGGGATTTGACGTAAAATCCATCAGTGCCTACAAAGGTATAATTATTTTCTGGTAGTTTAATAAAAATATAACCTGAACTCTACATTGACAATTCTCTCTCTCTCTCTCTCTCTCTCTCTCTCTCTCTCTCCCCTCCCCTCCTCCCCCCCTCCCTCCCTCCCTCAACAAGGCCGTGGTGTCTTTGTAACTACCTCTTTTCAAAAAGGAGACTTTCTGTTGGAATATAGAGGAGAACTGATCAGTAAGGAGGAATGTGAGAGGAGACAAAGAGTTTATCATGATACACTTAAAGTGTTTCTGTTTGAATTCTACTTTGACGGAAAGCTGTGGTGGTGAGTATGATTATACAATCAAATTAGAAATGGCTGAATGTGCTGTCACTGGAAGTCACAAGACAATTTATGATGTAATAATTGATGCATTAATGTTTTAGTGTTGATGCAGCAAAAGAAGATGGGTCACTTGGAAGACTTGTCAATGATGATCATGTCTGTCCTAATGCCAAAATGAAGTACCTGACTGTGCAAGGGAAGCCCCATTTGTGCTTGTTTGCTATTCGAGAAATAAGCCAGGGAGAAGAGGTAACCTATAATTACGGTGACTCAGACTGGCCATGGAGATGCAAGGTGACTGACAATTGAGTCATTAAATTTTGAATGCCTATGAAATTTGCCTATGGAAGAAACAAGTTAATGTTTATTTACAGTATAAAATCCAATCATTTTTAACACGTGTACAATATTTTTATGAAAGACAAAGCATGTTTTTTTTTTTCATCCTAATAATTTTCAGCTTTCCTTTGATGTTACTTGAGTGGTATGAATTAAGACTATCACTAACTTTTATTCATTTTCTGATGCAGATAAGGACTGAAAAGAGGCATAGTAAGGTGGCAGCAAACAACGCAAACCAAACTGATCCAGACCTTGAGCCGCTCCATAGAAGTGCAGAGGTAGTCTATTTTTATTGTTCACTTAAATTATGCTACTTCTAATATGGGTTTTCCAACAGTACTACTCCGTGTGACTTGGATGGGTGTGGTTCAATTTTACTGCCTTTTCCAAAGACATGGTTCAGTATTTTCACCCAAATTTTCAGTACCTGATTGGTTGTGGTTCTTAGCATGCTGACCAAGTCTAAAAATACTATGTAAGAGACTGACTGTCTCTGATTTGGCTAGGGTGTGGAGTCACTAGTTGTTCCAGAGCTTTCTGCCTGCAGCAGTTTATAGGTTAGGTGGAGTAGATGGAGTAGAGTCAGGGTCAGAGTTTGACAAAAAGCCAGAGACTGGCAGTTAATTTGCAGTCCACTGCTATACAAATACATGCCTTTTACAAACAAGTAGACAGGCAAGCTGCACAAGACATGGATCCATGTCCTCAATTTAAATTTTCCTGGGGAGATTTTTTTGACACTATGTCCTAAACAAATATTGAATTTCTTCAAGAATTGTCTAAATTTAGTTTGTCACTAACTTGTATTGAGTAGCTGATGCTTGTCTGATGCAGGTCTCACCTGAGGCAATCCAGAGTCAGATGCCAGAAGACAACCTGAAGCAGACTGATCCCAACCTGATTTCTACCAACAGGAATGCAGAGGTGATTTCTATTTAATAATTAGATGATATATGCAACTTGTTGTAAGATGTTAGTCAACCACTCTTGTAATTAGTGTGTAAGTGTATCTGAGTGTTATGTGCTTTACATGGACACTGGTTTGTCAGGACAATCTCAACAGAGGTTTTCATTTTAGTAAGCCATCTGTGTGTGTGTGTGTGTGTTTAGTTGCGTTCTATCCTATTGTTGTTTAGGAGGACCATAGGGTTTATGTGGACCTTCGTAGGTTCAGTGGAATTATACATTGTCTAGCCCAAAAAATGTCACCACCAAAAGAAAAAGCTAGCTGTTGCACTTATGCGCAGTGGGCAATATTTTACTCAAATAATCCAAATGGCTGTGTACATGCACGTCAGTTGGAATGATGATCGGACAAAACCACCTCTCAATTGGATTGAAACTTCATTCCGATGGGCCGAATTGGATCATAACACTTCGATTTACATGTTTACATGTAGAATTTTTTATCTGATTGGGCGTTCAATTTAATTGTGCCCATGTAAATGTGGCTACTGACAGTTCTTAAGTCATATTTAGTTCCTTAGATGTTTTCACTGCCCTATTCATGCTAATCATTTGACCCTTCTCAAAACAGATGAACATCTTTTACACGACCACCAGATGTGTTTTTCTACATGGCTGTTTAAGAAATGAGAAGCAACTCACTGCAGCAGTTGGAGTTAAATAACTTGTTGCCAGTTGAAAGATTATCGCCCATGCAGTAATTATCCAATAGGAGGCTCCTCTCTGTTTGCTTAAATAAATCTAGGTGGCAACTTCTTTTTTAGGCAAGGCAGTGTGTTTGCATTCTAATGCAGTAAGAATTTTCTACACGTTTTTATATATAGTGTAAATGTATAAAAAACAAAGCTACAATATGGGAACAGCAGTTTGTCACTAACTTGTATTGAGTAGCTGATGCTTGTCTGATGCAGGTCTCACCTGAGGCAATCCAGAGTCAGATGCCGGAAGACAACCTGAAGCAGACTGATCCCAACCTGATTTCTACCAACAGGAATGCAGAGGTGATTTCTATTTAATAATTAGATGATATATGTAACTTGTTGTAAGATGTTAGTCAACCACTCTTGTAATTAGTGTGTAAGTGTATCTGAGTGTTATGTGATTTACATGGACACTGGTTTGTCAGGACAGTCCCAAACAGAGGTTTTAATTTTAGTAAGCCATCTGTGTGTGGGGGTGTGTGTGTTTAGTAGCTTTCTATCCTATTGTTGTTTAGGAGGACCATAGTGTTTATGTGGACATTCGTAGGTTCAGTGGCATTATACATTGTCCAGCCCAAAAAATGTCACCACCAAAAGAAAAAGCTAGCTGTTGCACTTATGCGCAGTGGGCAATATTTTACTCAAATAATCCAAATGGCTGTGTACATGCACGTCAGCTGGAATGATGATCGGACAAAACCACCTCTCAATTGGATTGAAACTTCATTCCGATCGGGCCGAATTGGATCATAACACTTCGATTTACATGTTTACATGTAGAATTTTTTATCTGATTGGGCGTTCAATTTAATTGTGCCCATGTAAATGTGGCTACTGACAGTTCTTAAGTCATATTTAGTTCCTTAGATGTTTTCACTGCCCTATTCATGCTAATCATTTGACCCTTCTCAAAACAGACGAACATCTTTTACACGACCACCAGATGTGTTTTTCTACATGGCTGTTTAAGAAATGAGAAGCAACTCACTGCAGCAGTTGGAGTTAAATAACTTGTTGCCAGTTGAAAGATTATCGCCCATGCAGTAATTATCCAATAGGAGGCTCCTCTCTGTTTGCTTAAATAAATCTAGGTGGCAACTTCTTTTTTAGGCAAGGCAGTGTGTTTGCATTCTAATGCAGTAAGAATTTTCTACACGTTTTTATATATAGTGTAAATGTATAAAAAACAAAGCAACAATATGGGAACAGCAGTTTGTCACTAACTTGTATTGAGTAGCTGATGCTTGTCTGATGCAGGTCTCACCTGAGGCAATCCAGAGTCAGATGCCGGAAGACAACCTGAAGCAGACTGATCCCAACCTGATTTCTACCAACAGGAATGCAGAGGTGATTTCTATTTAATAATTAGATGACATATGTAACTAGAGCTGTGGCGACGCATCAATGACGTCGACGGCTCGATTCTAAAAATTCGTCGATGTCAGATCCGGTAGTCGACGCACCACGCCCACTTGTTATATCCCCAGGAGTTTGTAAATAGAGGAGGAATCTGCCTGTTTTTCCTCTAGTTCGCCCTCTTCTCCGCCAAATACCGAAGACCCGGAACAATGTCCGTCCGCTACGAGATTCCTTTCCTGTTTTGCCCGCCTTCGCCCCCCGGCAACGGACAGCAACTTCCGGGGTCAAATGCGCTAATTCATCTCTATCGCAGATGTCGAAAATCACCGGGAGCGTTTCTCCCTTCATTAAGGAGCTTCATTCAGACATTAGGAAAGCTGTTTTGGTGGTAGCACTCTCCTCCATGCTGGTCTGTTTGTTGCTGGGTGTTTTTGGTTAATTTAAACTTGGTAACTTGAACTTAACGTTGGTAAAGCTACTGTTAGCATATTCGTTAACAGCTTCTTGCATTTCAAATCAAATCAAATCACTTTTATTGTCACGTCACATGTGCAGGTACACTGGTACAGTACATGCGAGTGAAATTCTTGTGTGCGAGCTTCACAGCAACAGAGTTGTGCAAAAATACAGTAATGTAAAAACAAGTAAAATATAAAAATGGCTAATCTAAATATACAAATGAATAAAGTAAACAATAACATAAGAGATATAAAATATACAGAGGTTGGTATGTGCAAAACAGTGGCATTAATGTACACTATGGAGTGTGTAATGTTGGAGTTTCAGTAGTGAGGGTGAGGTGTCTGCGCCGTGTTCAGCAGTCTGATGGCCTGATGGAAAAAGCTGTCTCTCAGTCTGCTGGTTCTGGACCGGATGCTGCAGAACCTCCTTCCTGATGGAAGTAGTCTGAACAGTTTATGGCTGGGGTGACTTGAGTCCTTGATGATCCTCCCCGCTTTCCTCAGGCACCGCTTCTTATAGATGTCCTGGAGGGAGGGAAGCTCACCTCCAATAATCCTTTCTGCACACCGCACTACTCTCTGGAGAGCTTTGCGGTTGTAAGCGGTGCTGTTGCCATACCAGGCGGAGATGCATCCAGTGAGGATGCTCTCAATGGCACAGCGATAGAAGGTCCTGAGGATGCGGCGGCTCATGCCAAATCTTTTCAGTCTTCTGAGAAAGAAGAGGCGCTGCTGTGCCTTCTTCACTTTACTTTCCGTGTGCATGACCACGTAAGATCCTCTGCCAGATGAACTCCAAGGAAACGGAAACTGCTCACCCTCTCCACAGCGTCGCCGTTGATGGTGATGGGGGTGTGTATTCCTCTGCTCGTCCGGAAGTCCATTATCATCTCCTTTGTCTTTGTGATGTTGAGGGTGAGACTGTTGTCCTGACACCAGTGGGTCAGGGAGCTGATCTCCTCCCTGTAGGCCGTCTTATCGTCGTTGGTGATGAGACCTACCACTGTGGTGTCGTCCCATACTTCACAATGATGTTGGAGTTTCTCGTGGCCGTGCAGTCGTAGGTGTAGAGTGAGTACAGGAGAGGACTCAGCACACACCCCTGCGGAGCACCAGTGTTCAGTGTGACGGTGGATGAGGTGGTGCCGCCCAGTCTGACCACCTGGCGTCTGTCAGACAGAAAGTTCAGGATCCAGCTGCAGAGGGAGCTGCTCAGTCCTAGATCCTGCAGTTTCCTGTCCAGCTTCGAGGGAACAATGGTGTTGAATGCTGAGCTGTAATCTACAAACAGCATTCTCACATACGTGTCTCTCTTCTCCAGGTGTGACAGGGCAGCATGAAGTGTCAGGGCTATGGCATCATCAGTGGACCTGTTGTGGCAATATGCAAACTGTAGAGGGCCCAGTGAATCGGGCAGTGCAGAGCAGATGAAGTCCCTGACCAACTTCTCGAAGCATTTGCTCACGATGGGGGTCAGGGCTACAGGTCGCCAGTCATTCAGTGAGGAGATGGTGGAGGATTTGGGTACAGGGACAATGGTGGCCATTTTGAAGCAGGCTGGGACTACAGACAGAGAGAGGGAAAGGTTGAAGATGTGTGTAAACACTCCAGCCAGCTGACCCGCGCATGACCTTAGGACGCGGCCGGGAATCCCGACCGGACCAGTAGCTTTGCGTGCGTTCACCCTCCTGAACCACCTCCGCACACCCTCTTCAGACACAGTGTGCGCACTGACGTCATCCGCGGTGCGCTCACTGTCCGGTCTCATGGAGTTCGCTGTGTCGAATCTGGCATAGAATGCGTTTAGATCCTCACACAGAGAGGCCGTGGTCTGCGGTGTTCTGGTTCTCCCTCTAAAGTCTGTGATTGTGTTTAGTCCCTGCCACATACTCCGGGGGTTCTCAAACTGTTGCTCCACCCTGTCTCTGTACTCACGTTTGGCTGCTTTGATCGTCTTCCGGAGTTGGTAATGTGCGTGTTTGTAGTCTGATGTGTTCGCGGAGGCAAAGGTGGTGCTCCGCGCCGTTCGCACACCTCCATTAATCCAGGGTTTTTGATTTGGGAAGGGTTTAACTGTTCTGGATGGGACAACATCTTTCACGCATTTCCTGATAAATCTGCAGACTGAGTCTGTGTACTCATCAATGTCTCTAGCAGCTGCGTGAAACATTTCCCAGTCCGCGTTATCAAAACAATCCTGCAGTGTAGACTCCGATTGGTCCGACCAACAATGCACCGCCCTCAGGGTTGGAGCTTCCCGTTTCAGCTTCTGTCTGTAGGCAGGTATAAGCAGGATGGAGCGGTGATCTGATTGGCCGAATGGGGCGCGGGGGAGGGCTTTGTACGCATCTCGGAAAGAGGTGTAGCAGTGGTCGAGTAGCCGATCTCCACGTTTATTGAAATGGATGTGTTGGTGTAGTTTTGGTGAGACTTTCTTCAGGTTACCCTTATTAAAGTCCCCGATCGTAATAAACGCCGCCTCTGGGTGTGCGGTTTCCTCATTGCTGATCGCGCTGTACAGTTCTCTGAGTGCTCGGTCAGTGTCGGCTTGTGGGGGAATATAAACAGCCGTCATAACCACCGCTGTGAATTCTCTCGGTAGCCAGAATGGCCGGCACTTAATCATCAGGTACTCTAGGTCCGGAGAGCAGAAGGATTTGACCGGGTGCACGTTCGCATAATCACACCAGCTGTTGTTGATCATGAAACACACACCACCACCTCTGCTTTTCCCAGTAAGCTCCTGTGACCTGTCCGCGCGGTGCACGGAGAACCCCGGTAGTTGTGCTGCGGGATCCGGTACTTTGTCCGATAGCCAGGTTTCTATGAGACAGATCGCGCTGCAGTCCCGCATCTCTCGCTGGAATGAGATCCGAGCCCGAAGCTCGCACAGCTTGTTCTCCAGGGACTGCACATTAGCCAGTAGTAAACTGGGTAATGGTGGTCTGTTAGTGCGCCGTCTTAGTCGAAGCAGAACGCCAGATCTTCTCCCTCTGCGTCGGCGCTTGCGGCCTCCACGGGCCCAGAACAAAGGCGTCTCAGGTGAGATGAATGGGGGATCTGCAAACGGCGGGTCCGTGATGAAAGACCTGAACTCCGGGAAGCAATGAGAAACTCTGTCTTTTATGTCCAGTAAGGTTTGTCAGTCGTACACAAGGATACATGTGCTACTCGTGAAAAAATAAAGAAAGAAAAAGTAGTAAACACAAAAAACAACTGTTGCTTGGTGGAGCTCGCGACGAGGCAGCCATACTCGGCGCCATCTTGGAGGCATCACCATCACCATTGCATTTGGATAAGCTGTTATGTTTTGGTTTAGAGTTCATCGTTTTTGTGGTGCAGATCTCCCTTTTATTACATTTAGAGTGTTGTTGGTTTTCGGTTTAGTTTAAAATATCACCTTAAGTTTGGTTTAACCTCCCAGTTTAGAATTTGGACCTTTGGAGATCCTTATTTTGGTCCAGAACCCTGTAATCTTTGCCCAGTGGGACATCCCAGGTTATTTGTACTTTTGTTTTAATTCCCCACAGGCAGAATTAGTTTTATTATTCCCAACCTGTGGATGGAAAGATTTAGGTTTTTTGTAAATAAACCTGATCATTTTAACTTTTAAATCCCGTTATTGTCCCTTCCTTTTTGCAC